AGTCAACTGAGCAGAGTCACCTGAGGTCCAGGAACAGCAAGGAGCGTGCCCAAGGCCACACAGCCACATGTCAGGAGCTCCTGGCTTCTCGGCTGAGTTTGGTCCCAGCTCTGCCCCTACCTATTGATTTCCGATTCTAGAGAAGTGATCTCCTCTCTCTGGATTTATTTTCTGCTTGTAAACAGGGGCAACTGGACCAGACATCGGCCGGGAAGCACTGCGGTTTAAGAGGGAAAGCTCTAGAGTCAGACTGTCTGTTCAAATCCTGCTCCGCTCACCGTGGGAGATCCAAAACGATTCATTTACACCTGCTGTGCCTATTTCTTCGGCTGTAAAGTGGGAGTAAATAATAGTACATGCCATATACCTCATGGAGTCATTATGAAAATTAAATTAGATGGTCAACATGAAGTGCAGAGCACCTTGTAAAAAAATAAAGGTGCAAAAAATATTAGCTATTATAACTATCTAAAATCTCTGCCAGCTTTGGGGCACCTGGGTGGCTCTGCCAGTTAAGCGTCTGACCAGCTCAGGTCATGACCTCAAGGTTCGCAAGTTTGACCCTGAAGCCTGCTTCGTATTCTGTGTGTGTCTCTCTCTCTGCCCCTCCCCCCGCTCACACTCTGTCTCCTTCTCTCTCTCAAGTATAGATAAACATTTAAAAAAACGAAATGGTAAAATCTCTTCCAGCTTTAATGCTGTAATAACTCTAGGTTTCATTTTCTGCCTTTTTTTTTAATGGTAAAATCTCTCCCCATTAAGCTCATACCTCAGGCTGACATGGGTACTGAGAAGAAGACAATGATTATGAAAGACTTAAAAAGTGATTTAAAGAGTCTGGAGGGGGAAAAAAAAAAGAAGCAAATGGAATCTCTGAAGAGTCATTTAAGGAGAAGTGATTAATGTTTCCAGGGCCCTGGTGATGAGGGAGAAAAACCGCCTGTGAAATACACCGCGAAGCGCATTTAAAATACCATGTCCTTGTCCCGGGGCTCTCCTTTCTCAGCCACAGTCAGGCACCGCACAGCCACCGCACTGCAGCACTGCAGCAGAGACGAGTGTCAATGCACATAAAACACGTGCACAAGTGCAGCCCAGCCGATCTGAAAACAGCTTCCTTCTGCGCAAAGTGCAACGGGACCCCGGGCAACTGACTGATGGCTGGTTTTCCCTCTTCAAGATATTTATTCAAAGCATCTCAGGGCTGTGTTGCAGGCCAGCGAGCCCTGTGGACCGGGATTTCCTGCTGCGGCACCACTGACACTTGGGGCTGGATACGCTGTGGTGGGGGCTGTCCTGCGCACTGGGGGGCATTCAGCAGTATCCCGGGCCCCTATCTGAGACATACCAGTTGCGACAACCGAATATGCCAAATGTCCCCTTGGCGGGGGATGGACCGCCCCCCAGTTGAGAACTACTGCCCTAGCCAACAGAATGGCTGTTAAATACAAATTATTCCATGATTAGCCCAAGCGGTTATTACAGCTCAGGCCACCCGGGCTGTACTGCCTTTTCCATAGTTTGGGGAAGCGTTTGTGAGAACCCGCTAGTGGTCACCATGGCCACTGGTATTTCCTGAGTTTTGGGTCTCAACGGTCTCCCACATCACGCTGTTTACTTTCCTCCATGTTTCTGGTAACCTTCCAGAAGTTGCTCTGTGGAACTAGTTCAAGGTCAATTTCAGAAAAGTAAATCCTATTTTCTTTAAAAGTGAAAGAAAAAAGCAAATTCACAATTTTTAGAATCTCTCTTTTTCTTTTTTAGCAGTTATATTAAAAATCGGAAGTAAAACTGTTTTAGTTTAGATCCTCATACTTAAATGACCACAATAGAGTGGCCTGATGATTTTTTTTCTTTTTAGGGAAATTACATCTTAAATTTTCGTGTTTTGGGGCACCTGGGTGGCTCAGTCGGTTGAGCATCATCTCACGTCATCATCTCACGGTTCGTGGGTTCGAGCCCCGAGTCGGGCTCTGTGCTGACAGCTAGCTTAGAGCCTGGAGCCTGTTTCAGATTCTGTGTCTCCCTCTCTCTCTGACCCTCCCCTGCTCACACTGTCTATCTCTCTCTCTCTCTCTCAGAAATAAAAACATTTAAAAAATTAAATTTTCATGTTTCATCAGGCTCCCAAATTTATTCTTACATGTCCCAAAGACTATTATTGTCTGCTCTCCCTTGTTTGTTCCTGTTCTTGTTTCATTTTGGTTTTTTGCCTGTTGCTATGCAAAACTTACACTGGCTCTTGCCCTAAAGGAGCCAACTAGAACATAAGACACGAATGCCTAGTCAAAAGCAGAAAGACCACACAGAACAGTTTTTCACTCTCTGTACCTCTGTAAGACCTAGGAGAATTTTTAAAAACTAGGTACCCCCTCATTCCTTTTAAAATTGACATTTAAAGTATTTCCATCTTGAGTTTCAAGAGTTGCAAAAGCTGTCATTTCTGGCATATAAATATTGATTTCTGTTTCATCAGTCAATTAAATGTATCCACTGGGCTCTCTAAGCAGCATAGGGATTTGATTCCCACTCTTATTCTAGTCATTCACTCATAGATTCACAGAGAAATATGTGATCCTCTTAAAATATATATATAAACTGTATGTTCCTGCTTTATCTACTCTTCTGTTCATAGGCTACAGTCTAAACACACAAAAATGCACAAGCGAGCTTTTCTTCAAAAGTCCCAAAACTTACATCGTTACTTCTCCCAGACTTCTATTTCAATTCCCTTTCCCCACAGAATTTTACCCTAAAGCTACTTATGTTTTAAGCTAGAAAGTCTATTATTGATTTCTCTATCCTACCTCTTGGTAATGTAAATGCCTAGATACATTTTAATTTAATTTTTAGAAAAATTCACGTGAGCCTAGGGCTCTAACTGCTTAAGTAACAATCTCCCAGATTGAGTTACCATGAAAATAATTACTGGTAGAGAACAGATTTCTAATGACAAAAATACAAAACATTCTTTTATAATTATTAAACATTAAAGAGTAAAATATTCTTGGAAACGTGTATTTTCATGGATGAGGGACTCCTCTTGTTTTTTCAATTCATTCATACATCCATGGACCAATATTAAGTGGTCATCACTAGACTAAGAGTTGGAATCAATTTTGTTTCTATTTTTCTTGCCTTTTTCTTTCTTTTTTAAACACAGGCAAAAAGAAAGTGTGTTCTGCATAAAGAAGAGGGTGGAAAATTAAATACTTTGTTACAATGATGTCACTTTGTTCTCTGAATTTTATCCTAGTCAACAGGCCCCAAACCCCACAGTGGTCCATTGTGGAAAATTATTTTTAAGTATCGCTCTGCGAACAATTTGATTAGATCCACAGTCAAAGGGCCAGACATGTCTGAACCACTTAAGGATTTATGCCCAGGGCTCAGTGATCAGAGGCCTCACTTTCTTCACTCCAGCACCAACATCCCAAGCGGTCCCCGTTCATGCATGGACATTTTGCCCCCGAGAGACCAGGTAGTAAGGTGACAGTGCGTCTATCCCTTGTAAAGTGGGAGAGGACAAACGCGGAAGGGAATTTGGGCAAGGAGAACCGCCTGCCCAGGCAGCCTGGGGCCACTGAGGACCTGGAAACGGGTTTTGTGAACACTCTCCATGCCCCTGGGCACCACCTGGAAGGCTCTGGAAGGTACACAGACCCCAATCTGATGGCTGCTGACTTGGGTGACCTCTGGGAGACGCCATCCCCACCCCAGCCAGTTTTTGTAGAGCACAGTAAAAACCAGACAAAGGAATCAAATCTTGATCACCTGGAAGAGTGTCACATATTACATGACTTCTGGTGTGATGAAGACGATCGGAATATACCACCCCGGCATTTACACCCCTGGGAAGCAGGCTCTGAACTCTCCAACCCCCAAGCCCTAATGCCCGGCGCACAGATCGGGGAACTGGGGAACAAGGTATACAGTTCCCCACCAAGGAAGCCATCAGCCAAATTCACAATGTGGGACGCTCTGTGGATATAAAAGACCCAGTGTCTCCAACTAATTATGGGAGTGAAAAAAAAAAAAACAAAAAACGAAAGACTGTTAAAGAATAAAAGACAATTTAAAGTTATAATCGAAATGGAAATCTTGCTCAGATGCTGATTCTAACAAACCCACTTCAATGATCCCTTTGAAAAAATGGAGGAGGGGCATCTGGGTGGCCCGACTTTGGCTTGGGTCATAATCTTCTGGCAAGTGGGTTCAAGCCCCACATGGGGCTCTCTGCTTGTGAGCACCGAGCGCGCTTCATTTCCTATCTCTCCCTCTCTTTCCACCCCTCCCCAGCTCGTGCTTTCTCTGTGTCTCAACAAGAAAATAAAAACATCCAAAAAAAAGCTTTTTTTAAGGAAAAAATTGGAGAAAATCTGTACATGAACTGGGTGTTAGGTTACTTACAGTAAGGAGCTGCTAACTGGGGTAAGTGTGATAAGGGAATTATGTTGTAAAAACACAAAAAAAAACAAGTCATTCCGTTAAAGATGTGGATTTAACTTACGGGTAAAATTACACGATGTCTTGGATTTGCTTTAACAAAATATTCCAACCTCTCAAGAAGGTTGGGGGAAGTCAGAAGAAACGAGCTTAGCAAAACATCAGGATTGCTTGAACCTGAATGATGGCTACCTGGGATTCTCTCCACTGTTTTACATGTTTGGAGATGTCAATAATAAGAGGGCTTTTAAAGGGAAAGGAAAGAGAGAAAGATGGTATTTAATTAGCGACGTTGAGGCCCTTCCTAAAAACCATCTCATTTCACAAGTCTTGAGAGAGCTGCCTAACAAGCAGTCCCCATCGTTGTCTAAGAGGCAGGACCATTTCCATAAGCTGGACAATACATAGGTGCAGATATATGAAGGGGCCGTTAGCACTTGGAGTCCAGAGAGGACATCTAGATTGCACGAGAGAGACTGGAAATACCCCCTTGGCACAGAAATGTTCAAATAAGCAGGCCTCTGTTGACATCACTCCTGCTGTATGCTACTTACCCCTGCAGCAAAGCCAAGACTTCCATCCAAGATCCGCCTCTGAAAATATAAACAAGATGTTTCAGAGTCTGAGGGATGTGTCTAAGGATAAGAGGAAATCCTAGGATCTAAGAGAGCCGCATGAATGAAGACTGGCCTGTGCCTGAGAGTGCCAAGTTGTTTAGAAGCCTGGATTGGACCCTTTAAAAATGGGCCAAGAACCAGGGAAAGATTTTTTTTTAAAACCTTCCATCCATCCCACAGCCAATCAGAGTGTTTTCTCAGTGGTGCTTGGCTTCCATTGACCCATGCGCTGTCTTTTACCTGGCTCTCCTATTAATTTTAACTATAAACCTTTAGTAATAGCTGGCCTAAAAGATGGGAATTGGTAAGCGTGGGTAGGGACCATGGGGACCAACCCAAACTCTCTCACGTTGCAGGTGGAGGGACAAAATGGCACAGCTGCTTTGGAAAACTAACCAGCAGCGTCCACGGCTGATGAACATATCCTACGACCCAGGCGTGCTACTCCTGAGTAGTGAAATCATCACCTAACAGGAACGCCTATATGGATTCACCAAGCACATGTCCAGAAAAGCTCTCAGCAGCAGTACTTGTGAGAGCCAAAACTAGCAACTACCCAAACGCCCCACCAACAGCAGAACGGATACATCAATTAGGATGTATTCACACAACAGAATACCACACGCCAATAAGAACACACACGACATATGTATGAATGAAGCCCCTAATCAGGCAGGGGAGTGGATAAAGTGGAAAATAAACAGAGTGGAATCAGCCAGATGCAGAAGAGCGCATACGATATGATTACTCCATTTATATAATGTACAGAAACAGAGAAAACTAATCTCTGTGGTCAGAGGCTAGGAGAGGAAATTGCAGTGGAGGTTGGGGGCGGAGGGTAGAGACTAGAAAGGATCCTGAAAGGCTACTGCGGGGCTGATGCTGTTCTAGTTCTTGATCCGGGTACTAGTTTCATAGGCGATTGTGAAAAATCATCAAGCTGTACATTTGTAAAATGCACACTTTTCGGGGCACCCGGGGGGCTCAACGAGGTGAGCGTCAACTTTGGCTCGGGTCATGATCTCATGGTTCGTGAGCTGAAGCCCCATATCAGGCTCACTGCTGAGGGCACAGAGCCCACTTGAGATCCCCTGTCCCCCTCTCTGCCCTTCCCCGACTTGTGCACAAAAATAAACATTAAAAAAATAAAAATAGTGGGGCACCTGGGTGGCTCAGTCAGTTAAACGTCCGACTTCGGCTCAGGTCATGATCTCACGGTTCGTGGGTTCAAGCTCCATGTCAGGTTCTGTGCTGACAGCCAGCTCAGAGCCCGAAGCCTGTTTCAGATTCTGTGTCTCCCTCTCTCTCTGACCCTCCCTTGTTCATGCTGTCTCTCTCTCTCTCTCTCTCTCAGAAGTAAACTATTTTTTAAAAAATTTTTTTAAATTTAAAAATTTAAAAAAATAAAAATAGAATGTGCAGGGGCGCCTGGGTGGCTTAGTCGGTTAAGCGTCCCACTTTCGCTTAGGTCATGATCTCGCGGTTCGTGGGTTCGAGCCCCGCGTCAGGCTCTGTGCTGACTGCCAGCTCAGAGCCTGGAGCCTGTTTCAGTCTGTGACTCCCTCTCTCTCTGACCCTCCCCTGCTCACGCTGTCTCTCTCTCTCTCTCCTAGAAATAAATAAAAATGTTAAAAAAAAAAAATAGAATGTGCACTTTTCTATATGCATTTTATACTTCAATTTATAAATATTTGTTTAACTTTGCAGTCTACATTATGGACATAATCTATAGCCTCGTGAACACGTGACAGGCTTGTTGAGGTGATTAACCCCAATCCTTGAGACTCCCAAAGAAGCCTGGGTGGCTTAAAACCATTAGCTCAGCCCTCTCCCACCCCTGCACGGCTTGAGGTGGATGGAAGGTTTCAACCCCAGGCAGCCATACAAATGATACTTTTTCTAGGCGTGCTGTGGCTTAAGCAAAGTGGGCTAACCAAATAATTTAATCAAGATCTCATAAAGAAGTCAGGTAAGAAATTATTCTAACAGCATTCATCTGGATCCTGAAAGGAGAAAAATTAAACTTTTTAAATTTTTCCACTTTTAGACATTGACTTCAAGGCACTAATCAGATAGGTGCTCAAAGGCTTATGTTCATCACAAAGGTATTTCTTTAAAAATTAGGAAAAGAGGACATAACCTATTTGCCTAACAGTTGGGGGACGGCTATATAAACTGCAGGCCGGCCTGAGGACAGAATATTACACAGTCGGTTAAGTAGCCAAAGTGACCAAAATAATCAAAGTAATCAAAAAAACCACTGAGGGATGCAGGAGGAATGCTCACAGTAGCAAGTGAGGAAAATTAGTTGTAAAACATTACATAAAATTTGATCCCTACCATGTAAAATAACAGGCATAAATTTATGTATACACAAAGACAACTCAACTCTGAATGAAAAGGTTCAGGGTTTTGGGTTTGTTTTTTTTTTCCGGAGAAGCACTTTTTTTATTATTTCTTTCAGCTTTTTCATACTTTATGAGTTTCTTGCAATTAAAGTATATTTTAAAACAAGAAAACAAATTTTGAGCAAAACTACTTTTTTAAAATTTAATGTCTATTTTTAAAAGAAACAGAGAGAGAGAGACAGAGCACAAGCAGGGGAGGGACAGAGAGAGAAGGGGAGACACAGAATCTGAAACAGGCTCCAGGCTCTGAGCTGTCAGCACAGAGCCCGACGCGGGACTTGAACTCACGGACCGTGAGATCATGACCTGAGCCGAAGTCAGACATTTAACCGACTGAGCCACCCAGGTGCCCGTGAGCGAAGCGACTTTTGAGAGCAGCTGCGGAGGGCACAGCCCATGTGTCTACTATCCCAGGTGATCCGAACGGCGGCCCCCATCTCGGCCGAAGGAAAGCTGAGGTTTGCTCCGGGGGCCAGAGCACATCTCAGCGGACTCCTGTCTCTGGCCACCTTAGCCCCCCAATGCCGTGCCTCTCCCCACTTCTCACTCAATCCGCCTGTGCTGAAAGGGTGCACGCGGCCCATCCGCACCTGCTACCTTTGCAAGGCCCTGCTTGCAAGACTGGTCCTTGGTCGGCTTCTGGGAACTCGCTGCTTGAACTGCCCCCTCCCTTCCCTGCTAAGGGTGCATCCATGTGCCTATGCTGGTATCCAAACAAGGTGATGGATGTAGTGCACCCGCTTTCCTTCTCTTTCTGCGAGTCTGGAATTTCAGCAGCATAACGCTGCCTCTGTGAGCACCCCCGACACAGTCCTTGGGGGCGGAGGCTCCACAGGGTGCCCCGGGCGGACATATCACATGTGTGTTAACTGCACACATGCACGTGTGTCTTCCTCGCTGGGGGAAGAGGCGCTCTCACTGGGCCCCTCACAGGAGGCGAGGAGCGTCAGAGGCCAGTGCGCGGATGTCCCCAGATTCTGCCAGTATCTTTCTCCTGCTGATCCTTCCGATGTTAAACCTTAACCACAAGTACAACTATACGCTGAACGCTGTGGGTCCTTCTAGCGAATCACCAAACATGGTGATGTTCTTGGGGAACGTGCCTCTACGCAGTATAAGTTTTCAGCAATTCCTCCTATTGACCTCGGTGATTACAGTGACATGAGACAAATGAGGGGCTCTGGGGCTCCACAGGAGAAGGGGACACCTCTGTGAAGACGGGAAGGCACCTCTTCCCTCCCACAGCGTTGGCCAGGGCCACATGGGGCTCTGGGGCCCCGTCCACCGTGTGCCGCTGTTCGCTCAGCCCAGTGACCTCTCCTCAGTGCAGAAGACCTGGGGAAGAGAGAACCAGGCGCTGCGCTGCCCTGCCCTAGAAGGGCACGAAGTCGGGGCCCCAGAAAACCTGGCGTGGCTGTCATGAAGGAGGAGGGAAAGGCGACTAGGGCCCTCCCCGCTGGCCCCCGGGGGGCCCCCATTCGGGGACTGGAGTTCGAAAGGCTTCACTACCTGCCAAGAGCAAGCGGGGATCCAGGTGGCCTGAGTCGCTGATAAGCTCCAAACCTCCCGCTGAGAAGGGCGGCGGGGAAGTCAGGTCTTACCTGACACTGAACACCCGGCTCCCTGGTCTCTAACACAAGAGCGACTGTCTTGCCAGCTTCCTAGGCTGTGTTTTCCTTTCCACATCCGCTCACAGCTTGTTTACATGGATCTTAAATCACCCCTCGCTTATCACGCCTCCAGTTTCTAAGGCGGCCCGCTGAATGGTGCAGGGACTTGACAATTCCTCAAGATAAAGATGGGTTGATCACTCCAGGCCCGTGGACTGAGGGGGTCAAGGGCTGGAGAAGGAGAAGGGGAAGGGCGTTGGGGAGGAGTGGGGTCGGGTATGCGGTGCGTGTTGGGGGGATGGGTGGGAATGTGGGGGCTGTGCGATACGTGTGGTGTATGTGAGGGAATATGGGCTGTACGGGATGGGGGTGGCGTATGGAGAGATGGGGTGTGGGTGTCGGTTGGGACGATTGGGGGTGTGCACGTGGAGGGGTGGGGGTATGAGAGTCTGTGTGGGGTATGTGGGAGTGCAGGGGATGGGGAAGGGAATGTGGGGGGGATGGGGGATATAGGGGTGCATGGGGTGTGCAGGGGTGGGGTGTGGAGGCACAAGAATGAGTGAGGTTGTTGGGGGGAGGGGTAGAGGATGCATAGGGGTGAGGGGCGGGGTGGGGGTCTGTAGGGGCATGGGGAGACGAGTCTGTGTGTCTTCATCCCAGAGCAGGTTAGAGAGGGAACGAGATGACATAAATGAGAAGGGGACCAGATACCCTTCCTTTCCATCACCCCAGCTAGTTCAAGGACACGGAGCAGGACAGTTCAACCACCAAACTGACCACCCGCACCAGGCCTGAAGGAAACTCGCCGGAAGCTGGAAACCAGGCGGGGGCTAAAGGCGGCTTAATAATTGGGCTCCCTTCCCACCAGGAGGGGAGCGGAAGCCGGGTAGGGAGAGGAGGAGGAAAAAACACAACAGAGAACAAACGCAGAGGAGTGGAGGCGTGGCCAGTGGCCTTCCCCCGCCCCTGCAAGCTTGTCATGACTGTGGTTTCAGAGCTTGTTAAGAACCCCCCCCACCCCACCCCCCCCGCCGCCACCACCGCCCCAAACGTCAGCACCGAAGCGAGGCAACTCACCTGGCCACTAGAGAATACGAACACGAGCGCTGCCCCAGCTGCCGTCAGCCCCCAGGTGAAGAAGGTCCCCAGCAACGCCTGGAGCACAGAGCTGTGGCCTTGGAGCATGCTGGATACGGCTGTGTGCAGAGGGGCAAGAGGGGTCAGCCACCGACAGTGCCTTTCAGGGACAGCCACCCGTGCTAAGGTGCCCGACACCCTCCACCTGAGCCGGCCCACAATCTGGCCTGGTGCTATGCACCCATCCACCCCGCCATCCCTCAATGGCCTCGATGACCACCCCCCACACAGGCCCGGCCTCTTCACCCAGCCCCACCATGTGTCAGAAGCCACCTCGTCCTGCACGCACCGACCTGGGGACGCCTGGGGAGACGCCAGAGGAGCCCATGGAAGAGGTTATGACATTGGGAGTTAGTTCCAAAGAGAAGCTCACAGAATGTGGATTCTTCAGCAGGGAGGAAGAGAGCACAGGGAAGGTCTGATTACAGCCTTCTGGCACATTCTGCCTACTCTGGCTGCCCCTGCCCTGCATCGGTTCCATCTCCTCCGAAAACAGGTGACTAACTCAGTTTCCCTCTTCAAGCTCTCCCACCTGAGTCCCGATCCAACCTTCAATGGCTCCCCATGGAGGCTCCTGTGGGAGCTGCGCCATGGCCTGCCAAGGGCATCCCCCAGCGACACCTCCACCGCTACCCCCCACTCCGAACTCCCGCTCAACTAGCCATTTATGGCACCTTCAACAGGTCCCGGATGGTCCCGCCTCCAAGTCACTCTTAGCCGGTTCCCTCCCAGAATGCGTTGCTTCCCTCTCTCCAGCCGGCAGACCCAGAGCACCCTCTAATGCCAACTTCGCCCCCTCTCCACACCTGTCCCCATGCACACCTGCGGCTCTTTCTTTGTACAGGCCCGCCTCCTGTATCTTTTATATCATTGTTGCTCAAGAACACAGAGGCTACCTTTTCACACCTGGCACCCCTACAACACAGGGCTTCCCGGCACCCAAAAAATATTCGTTGTATTGAAAAGGGCCAGCTTACTTTGACGGGACACTCAGCAGGGACAGGGAGAGGGAGCTAGAAGTGGCATTTCCCTGTCAACTGAACACACCGCCACTGAAACGGAAGTCATACCACTGCCCACTGAGGAAAGAAAGGGAAGTACCACTCCTTCCCACTTCCTCTAGACCTGAACACGTCTTGAATTCTCGCTCTGGCACAACTGAGGATCACGGTCTTGCTGTGGAAAGTTACAAGGCAAAGAAAGCCGTCTGTTGAAAAGCCCTGTGTTCCCGTACGCAAACATCAGGGCTCAGAGCCTCGTCTCAAAGGGCTCATTCAGCCGCTCACCGGTCTCCCAGCTCCCACAGGGCTGGACATGACCCCACAGGGCTCGGCCCTGCCAGGTCCCAGTGCCCTGTGAGCCGCCAGCGACCCTGGGCCTGCGGACGAAGAGCTAAAGACGCTGATTCCGTTGGCCCCTTAAGGAAACCATGGCAGAGGGTGGACAGGGCCCTTATGCCAAGGGGCTCAGCAGCATGAATAGGACTCCAACCGGGGAAGGCTGTGGGTCCCCAGGTGAGCCCAGGCCCAGCTCCCACGCCAGGAAACCTCTAAGAGAAACAGCATCTGTGGATCTGGGCCATGTCCAAATAAAACTCAGGCCAGTGGGTGCCCCCTCAAAAAAAGAGAAAGTGATATATGTTTTTAAAACCCACCCATCTACATACTTCATCATGTTAGGTTCCCCCTAAAAGGAGCGGTTCGTGTTTCTCTTTTAACCAAGACATCTGGATCATTACCCCAACCTTCTATTTCTGGCTGCTTGTGGGTAAAATCTGAAACGGTGTTTGCAAAGAAAGGCACACGGCTGTCACACCCTTAGTACTTCTCATCCAAGACAGGTGATAACAAACAAACAAAAAAATAAACACAGCTTTTTTTTTTTTTTTTCCAGGACTGAATGTGCCTTTCAACAGCTACAGAGAAGAGGAAGCCATTTACTTTGCCAACGGGCCAAAGTCAATGTGGGATTTGTGGGTTCACCACCGACAGAGCTCTAGGTGTTCCTGAGGGGGGGGGGCGCGGGGGGAGGGCTAGAGGGAGGGAAAGCACTATCCCAGCCCGTCTCCATCTACTTGGGCACCCGAGATACAAGGAAAAGGGTCAGCAAGGCCAAGCATGCCCCCTTCCCAAAAATCACAACATTTATCATTGATAATGCAAACACAGTGGCCCCGGGAGAAGAGTCTTCCATGCGCTGTTTTAAATCCTCACTGCTCACAGGGTGGGCCCCCTCGGAGCCGGGTAGAAACGCAGGATCTCGGGCCCCACCCGGGACCTGTGGACACAGAGTCCGTTCTGGGAGGGAGGCTCACACACATTAGAACGGAAGGCACTGCTCTAACGCGGGCACTTCTAGGAGGCCCAGAGCCTTGAAAGTGACTTCTGCCCTGCGAGGGAGGGACTGGCGAACCTGCCACAGAGGCCCAAGTGAACGAAAAGTTTTCTCCAACAGGTCGGCCGGTAGCACCTTGGAACAGGGGCGCCAGTCCCAGCACCTCAAAATCCAGCTTCCGAGATGGGGCTCAGACTTCCCTGTGGGCCGGATGTTAATACATAAACCTGGATTAATTTACGAGCGGGAGGATTATTCGCTGCCCTCCCCAACTTCAAAGATGCCAACCGCCGTGTGTGTGTACACATTCTTCTCCAGCTGCCCAGGCGGCTCCCGGACCCATAGAGGATTTCTTTTCTCTCCCTTGCTAACCGGCCTCAAGGTATTAATGATGTTGGAGAGGTGGGAACAGCATTTAATGAAACTGCACATGCGCATGCGTGCACACACACACATATATACACGCGCGTGCACACACATACACACACACACACACGCACACACCCCTTGACTCCACGAGGAGAATCCAGCAATGGGATTCAGGTTTGGGCCTATAGGACTGTGGAAAAGTTCCCTTCGAATACCTGGCTGCTCAAAGTGTGGTCCGGGGGGCCAGGGACCCCGGGGGATGGCTTAGAAATGCACAGGCTCCGGCCGCTGCACCGTCACCAAATTTCCAGCCAGGTTCCAGAGGCCGAGCAGCTCCCCAAATGAGTGGGAGGGGACGCAGGCTGCCCCGCCTCTGCGCCCCAGGGCCCCGGGGACCCCCGCATGCCCACGCGAACCGCTGAATAAAGAGGATTTGGTGAGCCACTGTCAAAGAAAGGCAGGTCAACACCCTCCAGGTGACGGTGGCCGGGGGGCCGAGGGGGGCTCCGGGCAGCCCTCCCCCCCCCCACCTGCCACAGACTCCCGGCTTCTCCCCCCACCCCGACCCCCGCCTCTCCCCGGAGGGCACCCGCCTTCCAAACTCCATTTTGCCCTTCCAAGTCCCACACTCTCCTGATGGCCCCAGACCCCGGGCCTCCGGCCCAACCGAGGCGCTAAGGGAGAAAGAGCTGACTCACTACGGTGCCCTCTCAAGCCCCCAGTCCACTTCCATCAGCCCCGCCGCCGCTGGCTCGGCCGGCTCCTCTCTCCCGAAGTCACTTCCTGCTTCCCTCCCGCACACGTGTCCCTCCGGCCGCCAGGCCCCTCCCCGCCGGCCGCGACTGGCAGATCCCGCCCGGAGAATCAATTCTCTGGTTCACAGCCCTCCGCAGGCTCGGGAGCAGACGGGCGGGTGGACCAGGGCCCGGAGGCCAAGCGGAACACATTCTGCTCGCACCAGCCTCTGCGGTCCCCTGTGAAGCCACAGAACCACGGGGAAAGGGCGCCTTGTAACGTCCCTGATATCATTTATGTCACTGCACTTGGCAGCTGAGTGAGCGGACGTGTTGGGGGAGGGGCGGGGAGGAGGAGCAGGAACCACCTACGATTAGCAGCATTCTCTGGGTCAGTGGCCCTCCATAGCTCCCTTCAGAACCACCAGGAGCAATGTCAAAACACAGAATGCAGGCACCCTGCAGAGGTTCTGCTCTGGAAGTCCCAGTGGGGACCGAGATTTTGTGTTCTGAACTAGGATTTGCTGATGCCCTGGTCCTGGGACCACTCTTTGAGAACCATTGCTCTAGGTCAAGGCTTTGCTCCCTAGGCCTTCTAGGAAAAGACCAGCATCAGTAGAAAGGGGGCGCTCCAGGGTGGCTGAATCAGTTGGGCATCTTGATTTCAGCTCAGGTCATGACCCCAGGGTCGTGGGCTCAAGCTCTGCCATGAACGTGGAGCCTGCTTGGGATTCTCTCTCCCTCTCCCTCTGCTCCTCTCCTCCGCTTGTGCTCTGTCTCTTAAAAAAAAAAAAAAAAAAAAAGCAAAAACAAACCAAAAAACCCAGAGGGCATCACTTCTAGGTTTTGCCAAAAATGAAAACAGGATGCCCAGTTAAATGTGAATTTCAGTTAAATGACAAATAGTGTTTTAGCGTCAGTGTGTCCTGTGCAACATTTGGGACCTACTTATACTAAAAACATATTTCATCTTTGTTGTTTACCAGAAATTCTGATTTAACTCGTGTCCTATGTTTTATCCCAGGAAACTACCAGAGGGTGACCAGGTCAGAACAACTGTTCATGCCCATGGTGGTAACACACCAGAGGATCCAATAGGAGCTGGCATCTTTTGTCCAGTAAAAGGCTGTCATCCACACTGAGGACGGCTCCACATTTGAGCAGCGTGTCAGGAAATGAGATGGCATGGTGACTGCAGGGCGCTCTCTGCCCTCAGGAAATTCTCAGACCCAGCAGAGACCCAGACCAGCTGTCTTACTCAAGAAATTGCCACAGACCAAGGGAGGCTTCAACAGCAGACATTTATTATCTGGAAAATTCTGGAAACTGGAAGTCCGGGCTCGGTCCAAGATCAAGGTGCAGATTTGGTTCTTGGTAAGAGCTGTCTTCCCGGCTTGCAGACAGCTGCCTTTTCACTGTCCTCTTGTGGAAAGAGATCTCTCTCCCTTCCTCTTCTTGTAGGGCCACCAAGCCTCTCGCATGAGGACCCCCACCCTTATGGCTTCATGGAAGCTTACTTACCTCCGAAATGCTCTCTCTCCAAATGTAGTCATATGGGGGGTTAGACATATGAATATGACATATGAATTTCATGAGTGGAGCCCTCCTGTGTGGGATTAGTGTCCTTACAAAGGGAACCCCAGAGAGCTCCTTCACCCCTTCTGCCATGGGGAGACACGTGAGGAGTCCGCGACCCAGAACAGGTCCCTCAGCCCCACCACGCTGCCACACCCCTATCTGGGACTTCCAGCTTCCAGATCTGTGACTGATACATTTCTGAACAGGATTATTTCTGTTGTGGATAAGCCACCCGTCTGTGGTGTTTTGTGATAGCGGCCCAAATGGGCTGAGACACTCCATTTTACAGATAAGGAGACTGAGTCTCAGGAAAGCTCTGTCGTGACCCCAGGTTGACAGGGTAGTATGGGAATCCAAGGCCAGCTGACTCCAGAGAGGGCGCCCTTCCTGCATCGGACATACAGGGTTCACAGGACAGACCCAACGCCGGTCAGCAGAGCCTCAGGCAGGCCCCAGGCTGGGTGGCCAACCCCCAAGAAACAAATCTCAGCACTTCTTTCCTTTCCCCCAGTGAACCTTACACACACACGCACACGCACATGCACACAGACGCACGCACATGCACCACTGACCCAAACATGCAAACTGCCTCTGCCGCTTTTTACCCTCCTGGTAAAAAGTGCTCATAGGGGGACAGAAGAGAATGTCGTTTCCTTCAAGCTAAGTACACTGGCTCTTGGGCCCCGCCACCCCCGCCTTTCCCTCTCCCCAAAGTGCAGATGTGCCCTGCAGCCTCCAAACATGGGCAGGGGAGGGGGGAGTGCACAAGGCAGGTGCTAATGAGAGGGTGGCGGCCTGTTAAGCAGGCAACGAGGGCTGCCTCCCAAGTGTCTAAAGGCCATAAAACTAACTGATCTTGACATCAGCAAAGAACCTCAGGGCAGTGGAATGGTGGCCGTTTGCTGTGGCTTCATGGGGGTGTGGGGGGAGCAAGCTGGCAGGACCTCCCCCTGCAGCAGGGGGGAGGGGGAGGGTATAGTGGAGCGTCTGAAGCAGCACACTATGGGTTGGGGGAGGCGGAGAAGAGATGGGAGATGGACACAAGGCGCCCAGCCCAGTGGGTCCTGGGTCCTTCCTTCTCTGCTCCTTCTTCCCCCTTCCCCTTCTCCCTCCCTCCCTGTCTGAGATCTTGGTTTCTCTTAGGAGATCACAGCCTGGGAGGAATCTCAGCCTGGCCCATGAGTGTCCTTGGACAAATTGCCCAACCCCTCCCAAGCCCTTCCAGCCTCAGTCTCCCCATTCTAAGGCAGTGATTGGAGTGAATCACCCAATGCCCAGCCCAGCACCTATCCCGGCACCTGAATAACTATCTCTTGGCTGTCTCTCCTTCCTCCCTTCCCTCCTCCCTTCCTCCCTTCCTTCCTTCCTTCTTCCTTCCTTCCCTCTTTCCTTCCTTCCTTCCTTCTGGCCTGCCTGCCTGCCTTTACTATGCCTATTTCACAAGCCTCTGATCCATGCCAGACACTCTGTGGGACCTTAGTACTCCAAGTACTCCTTAGTACTCTAGTACTCCAAGATCTAGTACTCCAAGTACTAGGTTGCAGGAGCTGGAGAATGTTCTAGGTGGTAAGCAGACCAGGGCACATGTCATTGCTGATAACTGCTCAGAGGCCTCAGAAGAAAAGGGCCTCAATCTAAGGTCTTGTGATTTCTTCCACATACTAAAGTAATGTTCATTTTAATAACAAATTTTCTAATTTTTTTTCCTAAAGAGGAGCCTTAAAATTATATAAACTTCAGAACCCACAAAACCTAATGTGCCCTGGGTACATATTTAGAGATTGAAGCTGGAAAGCAAATAGCTTCATCTGGTAGGCAGAAGATGCCCACATCCTCCCCATCCCTGACACCCGTGAATAGGGACCTCCCACAGAAAAAGGGTGTTTGAAGCCGTGGTTAAGGGGCTTGAGATGGGGAGATTAACCTGGGTTACCTGGGGGGGGGGGGGGCCAAGTGTCATCACAAGGGTCCCCACAAGGGAAAAGAGGGAGGCAACAAAGTCAGAGGAGGGTAGGAGGCATAGGATGTGAACAGAGGGCAGAGCAAGGGATGCCAGCGGCATCCAGAATCCAGAAAGGCAAGGAAGTGGATTCGCCCCTTAAGCCCCCAGAAGGAGCACAGCCTTTGCCAATCCCTTGATTTTAGCCCTTCTGACATCCAGAATTGATAAATCCGTGGCATGTTAAGCAACAAGGTTTACAGTGCTCTATTTCTGCAGCCCAAGGAAACAAACCAACACACTTCTGTTTGCCTGAAAGCATCTAATTTCACTGGTGCCCTTCTCCAGCGACACCTCAAAGCACCAGGACCCATGGCGGCCCCTGCCCGCCGTCATGACCAGGCAGGACAGGCTACATCATTTGTGGGGACTGGCACAAAATGCAAACGGGGGACCACTTATTCAAAAGGTAGGGGGGCAAGTGCCACTAAAATACCAATTAAGGGGCGCCTGGGTGGCTCAGTCAGTTAAGTGTCAGACTCTTGGTTTCGGCTCAGGTCGTGATTTCAGGGCTTCATGGCCTGAGCCTGCTTTGAATCCACTGTGTCCCTCTCTCTCTGCCCTTCCCTGACTTGTGCTGTCTTTCTCTCTCTCTCAAAATAAAATTTTTAAGTACTAATTAAAGAACACCTGGGTGGCTCAGTCGGTTAAGCATCCGACATCAGCTCAGGTGACGATTTCACGGTTCCTGAGTTCAAGCCCCGCATGGAGTCCGGCATCAAGCCCCACATCAGGTTCGCTGCTGTCAATCCAGAGCCTTTGGATCCTCTGTCTCCCTCTCTCTCTGCCCCTCCCCCTCCAAAAGTAAACATTTTTTTTTAAAGTACTAATAAAGCCCTTTGTTTCTTCTGCATCACTCTGCTCACCGAGGACTCCAGTGTCCCAGCAGACTTTCCTTCCAAAACCCAAGTTCAGAGATAACATTTTTAGGAAATCTCAAGACGGTGACAGCAGAGCCTTAAACCAAGCACAGAGACCCCACAAGCCTGAATAGGTCTCACACCCATGAACCTGGCCCTGTCCCAGGCGTTGGGAGGGCAGGGCCAGACTGAAGAAGGCCATGATGTAGAAATTAGGAAATGGGGCGAGGGTGGGTTATTCAGAAAAAAAAGAAGTCCCCAGAGAGATTGGGAACCAGGAAGTGCACAGAGGAGAGAAAGCATAAGTGAGAGTCAAAGGTGCTGGTGCAAGCCGGCCTGGGGGAGGGGACACAGGTGGTCTCGGGAGACCGCAGACAGGGGCTGGACACCCTGCTGAAGGGGCCTGGGACTTGGGAATGAGAAAGTCCAGGAAGGACGAGGCCAGGGGAAGGATGGGGTCATCTCACAATTAGAAACGAGTGCGCCGGTCTTTGGGGTCCCCAAGCTTTCCCGGGGCCCATGAAATGGGTAAGCATTGAAAAAAATAGTGGACTTTTAGCTCAATAAGAAAAAAAAACCTTAAATTAATAAGTGTCTAAATGTCTATAAAACCTT